ACAACTTTGGTTCCCATGTCTGTTGGATTTTCTTCAGTTGGTACCTTCAGGAGATTAATTTTTCCCTTTGCAATCAGGTCTCTGACGAAATGATGTCTGACATCTACATGTTTTGTTCTTTCATGGTACACTAGGTTCTTACTAAGGTGGATGACACTCTGGTTGTCTGAGTAGACTGTTGTTGTGTCATTCAACAACTCTGCTTCCTTCAGAATTCCCTGTAACCATTTTGCTTCCTTGAAAGCATCTGAAACTGCTACGTATTATGCTTTCGTGGTTGATAGTGCAACCAGTGGTTGTAGTTGTGCTTTTCAGCTAACACAGTTGCCTTCCAATGTGAAGTAGTATGCAGTAGTGGACTTCCTGGAATCTCGATCACGTGCAAAATCAGCATCTACATACCCAACCAGATCAAGTGATGCATTTCTTTTACAGAAAGCTAAATCAATCTGAACAATGCAATGAATTTATCTAAGCAACCATTTTAGAGCATTCCAATGCTCATTCCCAGGATTGACATAAATCTACTCAATAGTGATATTGCATAAGCTAAATCTGGTCTAGTGCTTATCATATCATACATCACAAAACCTATGGCATTCGAATAAGGGATATTTTCCATTTTCAGCATATCAGATTCTGTTTTGGAAACTTGATGTTTAATGTCGAAGTGTCACTATATTACTTGATCATTGAACTTAGTAGTTTGGTCTTATTGGAATAGATATGACTTGAGGATGGCCTTTTTTATATCTATTTTGACTTAAATGATGATGCAAAATAAGCTTTCTATCTGTTGCTTTTCGAAAGATTTACTCTTTGGATATCATTGTTATTAGCCCAACATTGTATTAGATCAATACATAACTAATACTTCGTAAACTACATTGTGTTTTATATCTTTACAATATCACTCAAATTTCAAATTACCATTTTTATTCATTAAGTCAAATCTTATCCTCTTCGATTTGTTATTATATTTTTATCAAATATTTTGAATTATTAGCATAACTATTTTCTTTTGTTTAATTGTTATATATTTGTTAGTAGATATCTTTTAATTTTAAGTCCCTCCAATAAATATATCATGTATGACTCTAATTCACCAACGTTTTCCAATCTCAAGAGGAAATTAGAGTCATACATTATCAATTTTGAGTTAGGGGCTTCTTTTGTCTTCAAATTGAAAATGAAAATGATCAATTATAGAATGTTTATATTGAAAAACTTGCGTTATGCGGTATAGGAATAACTAATTTCATATAGATTTTTCAATTGAATATTAGTTGACTCATGTATGCAAGAGTCCATTGATCAAATTCATCCTTTAGAAATTTGAGGACATAGTTTACAAGTGAAAAAACTGCCTTGAAATTTCTAAAAAAAAAAATTATAAAAATAAATAGAATATACAAATTAAAAGACCTATTTAAAATTATGTATATATAAAAAATATAATCCATATGAAGAGCGCCAACTAATTAGGTTATGTATGTGGGCAGGTTATTTTTTTTACTACGTTGAAGGAAAGTTAGGACAATGTTTCAAAATACGCAGTATTGGTGTTATCATTTTAAAATACTACGTTATTAATCTTTTGACTCAATAAACGGTTAATTGATTAAATATAATATTAAAATAATAAAAAATATCCTCTTTTAAAGTTAATAAAATTTTATTAAAGAGTTGATATAATAATACACTTTAAAGAAATATTTTATCTTTTTTTAATTAAAAATAATATTCATTTGTCCACATTTTATCTGTCTTTATGAGATTACGGGTTGTTCAATGAAATGATATGTTATGTCACGTTGCATAAGTCAAAGGTGGACTAGTCTTTGTCCTCCATCGCCACCTATACGAAAAACAACCTCCTCTTGTCTCTATTATAACTTACTTTTCATTCTGCCCATTTATTTATTATTATTATATATTCTGGAGTTACAAAATCTACCTCTTATATTTCGCATAAACCTCCTGATAATCTAGGGCTAAAAATTGGGAGGTAAATAAATACTCCGGACCAGAGTTGGGCCTGTCAAAGCCCCTTTTATGTTCATCCCTAGTTGAAAACATGGACACACCAATCCTATTTATAAACACAAGATCCAAGTTATGTTTATCCAGATCCAGACATCATGGCTAACTCATTATAATATATTATTCTTTGTTGATGCATCACACAAAAAGATCTGCAGCTTATTGCATGATAAATGAAAATTCATAATAAAACTTTTGATCATGTGACTAATTAATTTTATAAGCAACAGGTAAGTCCCAAGTATATATGATCAAAGTTCTCCTCATGTTTAGAAACAGTTATAAAATAAATAATATTTCTAATAAATTTACAAGAAAATTTAATCACATCAACAGTTATATTTTTCTTAAGAAACTAAGGGAAATTTTAAAAACAAAATGAATCACATCTGCTTATGAACAAAACTGATGAAATCGTTTTCTGTTTTCATTACTGATCACAACAGGAATATATACAAGATTTTACAGCTCAACAAATCTGATAAAAGTTAAAAAAATCTATACAAGGAAATAACTCCCAAAACTAACGCTCCTAAATGAAGCCTAAATAAGAAAGAAAATATTCACAAAAGTTGTCAAACCAGTTGCTGAAGCTCGAAAATAATGCTACCATCCAATAGCTTAAAATCTAAAAAACTGAATGTAAAGAAAGACTCTTCACGTAACTCAAGCTAACCCAAGCTCAATATCAGAAGAGTTTTCTTGGAGCAAAAGAGGAACGACGAAGTTATCACCACCTTCTTCTTCTCTCCTTTCAATGGACGGTGGTGGCGGCTGCTGCAAATTGATGCTAGTTAAAACAAAGGCAGGAATGGCTTGAAGAAACTCATGATAAAACCATAATTGGGTGTTGAATGTTAACGACCCTCCACCGTGTTATTTGTCCCGAATAAAAATATGAAGTTTCCTTTGCGTTTCATGTCAGGTAGCTTAAAACATAATTGGGTGTTGAATGTTAACGAGCCGAGCCGAGTTTTCGACTTAACGAGCTCAGCTCGTGAGAGAAGATTATTGATCGAGTCAAGCTCGAGTCAAGCCGAGCCGTAGATTTTATGGCTCGGCTTGGGAAATAGTTGGTAATATTTCGAGCCGGCTTATCGAGTCGGCTCGCGAGCCAACTCTAAAAAATTCAAGTTTTTAAAGAAAAAATCAATTTTTTTTTAGCCAAACTGGGCTCGTTTTGTCTCACCAACCGAGCCGAGCTGTTAACGAGCCAGACTCAAGCCGAGTCAAGCTGGCCCGCGAGCGGCTCGGCCCGTTTAGCACCCCTAGTGTTGATGTATGGGGGTGTAAGAGTGCTCATAAAGACAAAAACCAAAAGGCAAAGTCACCGCACGGAACCGTTTTAGCAACCCATTTAATAAAGAGAAAAAAGTTGACAATTATCATTATGGCTAAGCTTTTATAGGTAATAACTCTCTAATATTAATCACTAAATATGATTTTGTTTAGTAATAGTCAGTTTTAGCAAGAATTTTACTACTTGGACATCAGTTGACTCATGTATGCAAGAGTCTATGGATCAAATCTATGCTTTAGCAATTAGAGGAAACTGCCGCGAAGTGAAAGTGGAAATTATCAATTAGGGTATAAACTTTTTAGATTATTACTATAGGGAAGAATGGACTGAGGAGTTAAAAAGACCAAGGGGTCTTGGGTTTTGTAAGGGCAAGCCGAGCCGAGCCGAGCATGGCTCAAACTCGGTTCGTTCTGTCTCATCAACCGAACTGAGCTGGTTTATTATCTGATAAGCCGAGTCAAGCCGGCTCGTGAGCGGGCTCGTTAAGCACCCTTAGTTCTGTCCTTTCTGAAGTTTGAAAAAATTATCCCAATTGAAAATGACGGTGATAAGGACCTCTTAAGTGTGAAAAACTGAAAATAGCAGTGATGAGGACCTTGTCACTAATTTCAGTCATCTTTGGCATTTGAAACCCTCTTCTCACGATAACTCAAACAAATCTAAAAGAAGCTCAATTTCTATCTAAATCTTGACCCAAATCGGATTACATTGGAACACACACACGTGCACATTTAATACTGTAGTCAAGAGTAATAATACGTTTAGGCATTTTTACATGGAGTCATGGACCACATGGTGCTTTCATAAATTTATATTTATATTGACATGGAGTCATGGAGTCATGGATCACATGGTGCTTTCTTTCTGATAAATTTATATTTATATTCATATACTTTTTTTTTTTAATTATCGGGAGTGTCTGGACCAGTTTACGCCTACCTCGACTAGTTCCTCACCCCCAAACAAAGCTTCTGAAATAGAACAAGTCCTACGATTTATGACCAACAATATTAACAATTGTTATTGTGATTCGAATCTAAGACTACAGAGAGAGCAAACCTCTTGACCCCAAGTCTTTACCACTCAACCAACCCATTATTGGTTCATATATATTCGGACTGCACATTCTGTTTATAATACGAGACAATGGTGCTATTTATGGACCACACCTTGGGTGAATGTTATTACGTAAAGAAAAATGTTGACAAATTCATACATTGGAAGACAGACACATGCACATTTAATACTATAGTCAGAGTAATAATACGTTTAGACATTTTTACGAACACTTAGATGGATGCTTATTTATTTATATTATCTATTATTCCTTAAACCTTTGCATAATTAAATATAATTTCACTCTATCTGGGATTGGTTTCTTTTTTGTAAATGATTGCCAGTTAGTCCCAGCACTAACATTGCCACGCCCGTTCTCCCAAACAAATCTGAAAGAAGCTCAATTTCCATCTAAATCTTGACCCAAATCAGATTAATTACATATTGTTTTTAATATCTAAACACATGTTTGTTCTTAAATTAAATACATAAATGGCACTGTTTCTTCGTCTTATTCTTCATTAAACTGCAATACAATATGATATCTTGATACTGTGATTACAAATGGCCAAAGATATTTGGTACAAAATCAGGATGTTAATTAACTTCCTAATCAATAGCCACAGTGCTCAATGGTTTTCACCATTGTTCAAGTTTAATTAGTTTCTACACCCTTAAATAGAATAGAAATAATCTCCACCAGGATTGCCATCAACTTCAGGCTGAATTTTCAATCGATGTCAACCAATTTCCTAAATGCCTTGACATGTTCAAGCCTCTTGCTCTGAGCCTCAGTTCGCACATTTGACCCTTTTAAGCTCTGATATAGATTCTTATGGTGCTTTAAGAACTCGCTTTTATACATACATTTGTCTATGTACATGCTCTGCTCTTTCATGTAATTGATGACCTCCATCACTCTCTCAAAGTAACCACCTTTAAGAAAGTTCAGCAGCATGATCTCAAACAGATCTCTGTTCACCGCTAAATTGTCAGTTGCCATGTTCCTTTTAATGTCGCCCCATAAGATTGTAATATCACGATACATTTCCAAAGAAGAGTACCCGTATGCCAAATAAGAAAAGGTTTGCACGGTTGGTTGGATATTCATTGCCTGCATTCTTCGGTATATCTTCAAAGCATCGTCTATCATTTTGCCTTTGCAGAAAAAGAAGATAGAAGAGTTTAACTCATAGACTGCAGAAGGAACTGTCCTTTCCTTCTCTCTCATTTCTCGAATTAAAGACTGAGCTACCTACTGATGGTTTTGTGCTTGAGATGCCCATCTCATCAGATAAATTTAGAGCCAAACCAACCTTCTTCATTTGTTTTAACAGTGCCTCGGCCTCCCTAGACATTTTTAATTTGTAATAAGCTCTTAGAAGCGACATGTATGTAGTAGAGCGCATGGGATAACCAGCTGATTCCATGTCATCCAAGATGTCGTGAGCAGTCTCCGGCAAACCTGATTGAATAAAAGCATCAATCACATCAGAACACAAAGCGAATTCCTCCAATGAATTATTTTCCTTCTGAATGCTTAATAAGAGCTTTGACAGCCCACTAATCTTCCCATATCTCTTGTATCCATTAATGAGCTTGGCTAGAGCCCTGTTACCGAGCAGAAGTTTCCCATTTCTGAAGAGAATGAGCTCCTGTTTACCTTCTATTTTGAGGATGGAATCCTTCTCTAGTAGCTCAGGCATAATCTGTATCTTCAATCCATTCCTCAGATTGGGAGAACCTATCGGAACAAGGCAAGGCTTTTGACTGCCTTTCATAAGTTTTTGATCAGGAAGAGAGTCTCGATATCTATTCATATCCAATACAAGCTCAGAAGCTGCATCAATATCATCAAACTTAAAATACAAGCTCAAAAGACTATCATAAAACTGCCTGTAATGCTGCAGAAATGGAACTGATACTCGATCAATGTAATCTTTAAATTTCTTCAGCTCATCCCTCTGACTGTTCATTTCATGAATCTGAGCCATAACAACAATTGTGTGAGCATTAGCAATGACCCCAGTCTGTGACATAAGTTCCATTATATGTTGGCCTTTAAGAGGTGATCCGAATCTCACACAAGCATCCAGCACAAGGTTAAAGATCATTGTATCAGGTTTGATCAGCTTTGCGCAATTGCTTTTCTCTGCACTTAAAAGTAGGAAACAATCACACATCTGAATCAAGAAATTTGATGCAACACACGTCCCAGTTTCAGTCTTCACCATATGCAGAAAAACCAACCACAATACATTCATTGCTGGAAGATTTTTTTTCTCCAACATCAGTCTAAGTATCATCGAAGCAGGGATAGGCATCTGAGCTCTTGCTAAAGAGAGGGACAGCTTCGCTAGAACGTCAAGCTGAAGCAAATTCGGTTTCTCTTTCAAGATTATAAGAACCAAAATAGATGCTTTTTTTAGCCAATGAGACTCAGATGAGTAAGACAACTCCGTGACAAACTTGTTCACAATTGAACACTCAGGAAAACCATGCAATCTCTTCAAATCATTAAAAGTTTCCCATGCTTCATCCACTTTATGATTCTTCAGTGTTAATTCAAGCTTTCTCAGTAAAACTTCACGAGACGTACCTTCCCAACATAATTTTTCAGGCACAATACTACCAGTACAAAAGCATCTCAGATTTGAAAACCAAAAATATTTACACAATCCATCCAATACTAGAGACCTTCCAAAACCATTGTTAACAAGCACCGGTGTCTGAATAGTTGATGTCGAAATGAATCCGAAAGAACTACTGTTAACAAGGCAGGCTTGCACCAATTTCTTTCTTGCCAATGTTAATGCCATTGAGACACACCATCATTACATCATAACACGAGCCCCATCAAGCCCACCAACACGAATCTAAAATTGACGGAAATTTTATAATTTTTATTCATTTTTGGCTTTTTCAAGACAAAATCAAGCACCCAGAAGCTTATTCTTCCATATCTTTATCAAACAAACATACCCAGAACTAAAATTCTGAAGTCCAAACTGCAAAGAATCTGTTAAAAAGAAAACATAATCTGAGTACGGCCAAGGATATTGCTAATATGAACAATTAACATGAAATATTCTCAAAAACCATAGAAATAATGAATAAAATGACAAATTAAATCACATAAAATTTTACCTTTTTCACACAGTGATTGTTATGAAAATAATAATAATAATAATAACAATAAAGAAAAAAAAAATTGTTTCGACACAGTAGGGGAAAAAAATAGAAGCTTTAATAATTGAAAAGAACTTGCAAAAAATCAGAAAATAATCTAGAATCTCTAATTTATATATTTTATCTATCTACTTATTATAATCGATAAATAAATTCGAAAACCGAAAATTTAAAAAAATACAAAAATAACACCTGTTGACGCTTGAAAAAACTGCCGGGAAAATCGCCGGCGTCAAGGCTGAGTTTGTGGCGGATTTTTTCATCGTTGACGGCGCTCGGCGTAAAGCGATGGCCACTCTGCGTAGGTATGGGACTGAACAGTGTACGGATTCCTTGGTTTCTCAAGCGGAGCGGAGGTCCATTTTTGCGGGAAGAGGAAAGCTGGGCGCGATTTTTAGTGGGAGTTTTCAGTTCAGTTCAGCTTCGCTGTATAATAGTTTTAAAATTTAATTTTAATGATTTTACTCTTAAATTATTTTTTAAATTTATATCAAATATATTTATTTCAATAGTAAAAAATCGAAAATACAGCCATAACCGCTTCACAATCTCTACCAGGCGCCGTGATGCTAGTTAAAACAAAGACATGAATGGCTTGAAGAAGGTCATGATAAAACGATAGCCATAACCGCTTCACAATCTCTACCAGCTTTGGAAACCAAGGAGAAATGGCTATGCAAATTAAGTAAGCAATGAAGAAGAGTAAGGGACGAAGGAGGAGAGAGGCAAGTAATGCCAGAGCCAGTGGCCCTGAGAAGTCACCGAACTTAAAAACAAGTGAGTATGTCAAAACATGTATATGGAGTTTGATGGAGGTGAGTAGAAAGAAGAGAGTGGAAGGCCAGGATGAAGAAGAAGAAGTGATCGTCATCGTCCTCTTTGTGAAATAGATCTATGTAAGCTAATTGATTGCTGAGTAAACTAAGGAGAAGGTTGAGGAGAGGTGGAAGAACAAAGGGTAAATCGATTTTCCAGTTCATGGTTATGGCTATGGGTTGCGGATTATGGTTCACCTTTTATAGAACAAAAAGTTTGGTGTTAGGAAGTGAATGGAAGTATGGTGTTATGAAGTGAATGGGGTGGCAGATGGTTTTATAGAAGCCTGAGGGGAAGACCACCCTCCGCCGTGTTATTTGTCCAGAATAAAAATATGAAGTTTCCTTTGCGTTTCTTGTGGGAAGCTCAAAACATGAAATTGCTGATGTCATGGGGGTGTTCAAAAAGCCAAAAGCCAAAAGCCAAAAGCCAAAAGCCAAAAGCCAAAAAGCCAAAAACCAAAAAGACAAAGTCACCACACGGAACCGTTTTGGCAACCCGTATAATAAAGAGAAAAAAGTGGCCAAGCTTTTATAGGTAATAACTCTATAATATTAATCACTAAATATGATTTTGTTTAGCAATAGTCAGTTTTAGCAAGAATTTTACTACTTATACTTGAGTTCGAAATTATTTGAAAAAAAAAAAACCATCCGAATATCAAAATATATAATGAAGAAAAAAAACCATTTGATTCATTTATTGAGTCAAAATGATATTTTATAGAGAATAATGCACTGTCAAAATATTTATGAATTTATTGTGTAACTCCATGAATTTGACAAATAATCTTAAGGTAACTTGCTTTTTTTTTTTTTTAATAGAAAAAAAGAATTAGAAAAAAAACTTATCAGAATATCAAAATATATAATGAAGAGAAAAAAATCATCAGATTACTTATTGTTGGAAATGAATTAAATTCACTTAAAAGGATGGAATCTTGGAACAATAAGCCGAGTGTTACAAATATATTATTGTTAGAGGCAGTTGATTTTATTTATTAAAAAAAGTTATTAAATCAATTATCTTATTTCATTCTATATTTATATAAAATGAAAATTAGGAATAAATAATTGTTTTAATTATTTATTTATAAAAATCAGAATAAAAAAGGAATTAATTATATATTTATAGAAAATAAAAGATAAAAATGAATTTATTATTTACATTTATTTAATAAAAAAAGAAATTGTTCTTTTAATTATTTATTATTAAAAAAAAGGAAGGTTATTTTAATATTTATTGATAAGAAAAAAAATATTAACAACTCTTTTAATTATGTCCTATAAAAGATAAATAAATAAGTATAATGGTTATTTAATTCTTCATTAAAAAAATGGATGGCTAGTTAATTATTCATTTATTAAAAAAGATTGGTTATTTTATTGATTTATTTATTAATCAAAATAGAAAAATGTTGGTTACTTTAATTAATTTTTCCATAAAAAATACGAAAAAATGAAATATTATTTTTAATTATTTGTTTATGAAAAAAAAATTGAATAGATTATTACTGAGCTATCAATTCCGTTTAGAATTTATGATGTGATGAGTGAATGAATATTTACTTAATTGCCCCTTACCATTTATTTTTACACTAAATAATTAATAATAGAGAGATTTTTATTATTTTTCTAACCATAGGAGGTATTTTGTTATTCAATTATAAATAAAGGGGATCTTGTTATTAACCTAACATTTTATTAGATTAATACGTATAACTAAAACTTTGTAAACTACATTGTCTTTTATATCTTTATTATATCGTTCAAATTTCAAGTTTATGTCAAATCTTATCATTTGTCATTATATTTTTATTGAATGTTTTGAATTATTATCACCACTATTTTCTTTTGTTTAATTATTATATATTAATTTTAAGTCTCTCCAATAAATATATCATGTATGACTCTAATTCACTCATAGAGGAAATTAGAGTCATACCTTAAACATTTTATCTTCAAATTGAAAATGGAAAGTATCAATTATAGAGACAAACTTGTGGTGTACGACGTAGGATTATTTAATTTCATACAGATTGTTCAATTGGACGTCAGTTGACTCATGTATGCAAGAGGAAACTGCCGGGTAAGGAGGTAGCCTATCAATTACCATACCCAAAAAAATAAAAGTTATAAATTATTCAATTAAGGGAGATCTAACTATTATTTGTGGTTAACTTTAATAGAAAATAACAAATAACTTGAATGCCCTTGGTTTTTTTTCTTTTTTCCAGAAATGAATTAAGTTTGTAAAATCCAATTTAAAAACTTTTTAAAGGCTAATAGAACAAAACTAATTTTTTAAGGAAATCGAAGAAACAAAAAAGTTTAACAAATTAAAAAATTAAAAATTAAAAGAAAATTGAATAAAATAAAAAATAAGAAAACTAAATATCTTTTTCTGTTTAATTTTGATCATTTTTAATTTTTATTATTTATATTAATTATAATTTAAATTATTCAATTACAACTTTACCTTTATATAAAGTTTGAAAAAATTATCCCAATTGCAAATGACAGTGATAGGACCTCTAACCTTTTAAGTGTGAAAAACTGAAAATGTCTCTACTTTAAATCATCTTTGGAAATCAACGCATGGCATTTGACCATTTATAAATGGCCGAAGGACCTGCTCGCACCCAAACTTTGCCTCAACAACAGTTTACTACCCAAAAAGTTTGGAAATGACAAAGACCCACCTTAGGTTCTGCTAGTGAATTCTGTCTGATAAAGGACAGTATGGTAATTTTCCAATCAGTCGAAAAATCTTTAAAAAAAAGCCTCCTTCTCATCTCCCGTCCTCCTCCCATCTTCTTCTTCTTCATCCCCCCATCCTTTGTCGTCCGCATCTCCGTCGAAAATTTCGTTGCCTTTCCGACAGCCGACATCTCCTAGTCAACAGCCCTTCCACTCTCCCCGTCCTTTCTAACCATCTGCCTGCGAACAACCGCCCCCCAAATAATCACTTTGTGGGAAAGATACCATCAGATACTCAGCTCCAAATTATTTTCATCAACATCTTTCGTGGGTAATGAAGGATTATATGGCCCTTCTTTGACAAATAATTGCACAACAAATTCCAGCAAGTTAGAATGTTCAGCACCAACTTTAAGTAAAGAATTTGTTGGCAGTTCATAGTTATTGGAATTGCATTTGGGATAGGTTCAGCAGTAATTGTTGCATCCCTGATGTTTTCAGACAAAGTAAACCAGTGGTACGACGATAATATCATCGACGAATTTCTAATGGAGATCCCATTGTTTGGGTTGATGTACAAGACATCTCATCAAAGATAGGCCATAGTGGCAAAATGATTTGTAGCAACCTCCAACCTCACCGTTCGCCCACCACAACCACTTGTCCCCAACTGTTTGATAAAATGCCCCAACCAGCGTTTTGTGTTGTGTCAACTCAACCCACTCAAACTAGTAATTTACTATATCTTGTTGGGAGACGGAATTTACTAACAGAACCTGACGGAAGGTAGGTGTTTGTCATTTTCAAACTTTTTGGGTAGTAAAATGTCTTTAAGGCAAAGTTTGGGTGGGAGGATGTCGTTCGGCCTTTATAAATTTATTTAAGTCTTTGGGTGAAGGAAGAACCCTGAGTGAGACCCTCGTGTAGAGCTGGGCATTTGGGACTGGGCCCAAAAGCCCAGCTCCAAAACCCAGTCCTACGACCGATCCTTGAGAGGACCGGACCTTTTGGGACCAGGCCTAAGGAGGAGGGCCCTCCTCCAAGGCCTGGGCCCTCCTCCAAGGCCCGGGCCTGGGACCGGTCCCAGGCCTATGCCCAAAAAATTTTATATTTTTTCAATATAGTCCCCTACCAAATTACTAAAACCCCCTGTTAATTTTAAAATAAATATAAATTATGAGGGCTAAAAAAAATTTTACAAAATTTATAAAAAAAAAAAAAATCTTACAGGTCTAAAAAATTTATAAAATTTACCCCTAGAAAGTACTAAAAACCCCTTATAAAATTTCGTTTTGCCTCAAAATATAAAAAAAAT